CCCCGGGGCTGGCCGGGCCCTCCGCAGCCTTAAACCGGCGATGCCGCCCGGGCGGCTCGCTGGGCTGGGGTTGTTGCTGGTCCGCTGCCCGGAAGAGTCAGACACCCCCAAAACGTGCCCTCAGCTGGCCCAAGCACTTGGCTCCTGCGATGCCCGCACGAACACCCACTCGCGCCCACACAGAGATCACTCGGTGACAGCGAAGGCGCTGCGCATCATCAGGGACTCGCTGTGCTCCGGAACACGCGATTATCGTTAATCTTGTTGTTAATTATCACTGCAATTCGCGTGGTTTTTTATCAGTGATGTCTGTCCTGAACATCGGGCAGTGTAACAACGTGCACTGGAAGTCCTTTATTATTTCTTTTGGGTAAGTTCCTGCTGCAGCACCGCTACCCAGTTTGCTTCAGTTTGCTTCTTGCCGCGCTGATCGTTGTGTCCTCTAGTTTTGCTCTTGCACAGCAGGGAATGAGGATGGTGCATTCTCCGATTGCAAAATCCATCAAGCAGGACTCTAGGGGAAAAATGGTCCTTGGCGGTGCCCTCTTTTACTGCACTAAACGAAGGCTACAGGGATGCTATTAGCTGTGCCACAGCTTTTCTGTGGAGTTGTTTGTTTCGTGACAGCTGAGCTCAGGCATTTAATTCAGTCAGGTCCAGCTGGCCCAGCACTTAGGCTGGAAGCAGCTCACCTTTTGCCTGCAGATAGTGAGCAAGCTGCTTGGGCAGGGCTGAAACGGCAGTGTCTGCCGTGTGCTTCACCTCCTTGTCTTATGCTTGGCCAGAGCTCACTCCCGCACAAGCCACAGCAGCCAGAGCCATCCTTGCACCCAACAACACCGATGGAGAGTATTGGATGCAGAGGTACATTCCAACCCATGTGAGGGGAGTGCTGAGGACAGGAGCTGTGCTGTGGCTCTGAAAGAGTAGATGGGTGCAGGTGACTGTAAATGATGGTGATGAAGTGTTTGAAGCGATCCACGGAGGTGGAGGTGGCCCTAAGCTTTCACCAGAGCAAAATGCAATGGCTGTGCTTTCATAGGAGCAGGCTCTGGCATTTGAATTCAGAGCTGCAGTGGTGCAGACCTTATGCCTGTAAGAATTTATCAGCTTGCTTTCATACAAAATTGCATTTGCAGTCAAAATGCCATCCAAACACCAATTTTAGCTGTGTCTCTCCCTGATGTAGGTGTCCTATGGAGGGCTGGATGTGGGACATTTAGGGATGTGAGCATTGTCCTCTATTCCTCTCTATTTTGTAATGTAATGGACTACCACATCTCCTTGGCACGGTCCTTAGGGGCTTTAGAAATGAGGCTTGTCAAGAAAGAAGTCAAAGGCCCTAGAGACCTGTCTGATGAGGAACAAGCAAGTTTTTATGTGCTCTAAACCCTCCCACCCAATTTCTCTTCTGCTTGTAGGCAGTCCAGCCCTTTCAGCACACATTAGCGAACATCACAAGCCTATTGGAAAAAGTGCTGGAAATGAAAAATGAAATGTACTCTATTTAGTCTTCAATTAAGGAAGAAGAGTTTACTCCATCTCTCTAGGGCAACAAAAACTGGAGCAGAGTGTTAGGTTCATTGAACATTAATGATCTTTTTCTATTATGCTAAATTATTGTTTCCTTAACCAGTGATCAAATACAATAGCTTTATTAAAGCCCATTTCAGTTAGAAAAAAGAAAGTGCCTTTCTGCCACAGTAGCTCTTATGAATGACAAAGGAGTGAGGGCCCTACAACGGGGCGATTGTTGGAAACAAGGGAAACAATGGTCCCCGCTGCTTCTGCAGATGCCCTCACCTTTCCCCTGCCCCTGTAACAGAGACATCGAGCTACCCAAACGAGAAGCTAATTTCAGCTTTGTGCTCACCCAGCTGCAGGCTCCTCTGGCCCCCTCCACTGTGAGCCATGCACTGCCGAGCAGGGCTCTGCCCACAGGTACACAGTGCTTGCCCCACAATGAAAAATATGAACCCCCCCAAAAAGGCATTTAACACCTAACCCAAGCTGGAATAAAACGTGTAGTTACAGCAACAAGGAACAAGCTCGAGCTGTAATAATGCAGTCCTGTGGGGGAAAAAATAATCTGAAGCAAAATGAGTCAATTTTGGTGGAAGTCTATGGAGGCAATGCTACACTCTTTAGACAAAATTAAATAAAACAGTTTTAATGGACTTTTGTGGAGGTCACATTCCAACATAATTCCAATGGAAAATTAATGTTCTGTTAAGTATGCTGCTGCTGAAAGGAAAGGGTATAAAGCCATGGGAAATGCAATAGGTATAAAAGATAAGGTTGAAATTAGGTTAGAGGAACATTGTAAACCACTTCTGAAATGTATTTATTTATCCTACACCCCACCGTGTCCCTCTCTGGCACTGCAGCACTCTTGTGAGATGACTGCCTCTTGCCGCAGCTCAACACTTCCCCATGTACTGTTCATCAAAACCAGGTGCATGGTCTCATCTGCTGCAAGAGAAGAACACAGTGGCTGAGGTGTCATCTCCAGAAGTCCCTGAGCCATGAGTGGCAGTGTGTTCCACTCTCCCTACCTGCCTGCTCTAGGCGGATAGGCAGCTTGACCCTGCCAGGTTATTCAGCAGCTGAGGATCCTTCAGCAGCACTCTCAGACATTCATCTTCACAGCACTCTAGCATGGCATTTAAAATGCCATTGTTCCGTAATCTGTGGCATACACAACAAATATCTGGGACACAGCTCAAATCTGAGCGGGTTTGGGTGGGAAAGGGGAATGAACTGTGTCATTCGCATGGTGGGAAGCACAGGGAGGAGAGGAGGCAGCAGAGGAATGCTGCCAAGCACGTGGAGAAGTCCAGCAACTTCCCCAGGGGTCAAAAGAGTAGCTTTATTTCAACAAGACACTTTTGAGCTATGGGAACTTCCATTTTAAAGTAGTTTCTCCCTTCCCCAGTCTGTCTCTATCTTGGCATCCATGCTGTACTACCCTCTGATGTTACATATTCTGCTTTAAATCTACCTGGAAAAGGGGAGGATCAATTGGCTTTCAGTTTTGCATCCATGGCAACACATACTTTACATATCATTTATCCTGAACAAAGGAAAATTAAAGACTTGGGGTTTCAGGGAAAGAGGGGAGTGAAGGCAACGGGCTTTGCCTCCAGGTGCAAACTTGTCATATTGAATCCTTAATGCAGTGAACTTAAGAAAAGTGTTGATAGAGCAAAACTTGAGGCTCTGTGAGGAGAATATGAATGCTAGATTTATTTCCGCTGACAGTACTCACAGCCTAATGCAAACTAACAGAGCTATCACCAGCTCTTAACAATCATGCAAACAAGTTATTCTCAAAAAGTAATTATAGGAAAAAACCACCCAATAACTCACTTCCAAAAAAACACCAACCCCCCCCCCCCCCGAAATCCAAATGAAAAACAAACAAACAAAAAATCACAACAAAACAACAAAAAACCACCAAGCATTATCAAACATTTACATTTTGGACTAGCCATATTCTAAACCTTATTCTTATCTGAATTCTACTGGCAGAAGGCTAGAAAATCAGTTTTTAAGCTGCAGTGGATTAAATAAAAAAAAAAAAAAAGCCCTTCCTGTGTTCCTGAACTCTGGAAAGTGTTGCTAATACTAGGTGACATTTGGATTTGATATCTGATCTACAGAAGCCTCACCTATGTCTAGTGATCTAAGTTCATTACTTTGTCATAATAAAGTCAGATTGGTTTTTTGTTTTCCAAACCCTGTTATTCTGAAGTTGGGTTGAACAATGATTAAATTAGGTAGTCAACAGCAAACAGTGGCCTGATTTCCTTCTGCTGTGTCCCTAAGGTTTTATTTACACAATCACAGTATGAGTAAAATGCATAAAACTACACATTTTTTGTATGGTGTAATTTTGCAATTATTTAGATCCACACTTTCAAAAGTGTAACTTCCTACACCAACGGCAGTGGAAAGGCAAGGCAGTGGAAAAACCATCCATATCCACATGAAATCCCAAATCTTTCCGAGTCATTACTGTGCTCTCTGTAAGTGCACATGCCTGTGCTAATATATAGTGCTGCACTGACTCCTCCAATCAGAAATTTTAAAATTTCAAAGCTCTGCTTTTCCAGGGATGACTTGGAATCAGATCTGCTGTAAGGCTTCATGTGGCCCTGATAAGGCAAGGGGAAGCCAAGATCAGCATCAGGCCAGCGGGTGGGTGGGAGTGGGCACGACTTGCTAGAAGCAAGTCCAGAGACAACCCCAGAGAAATCAGTGCATCACATCAGACCAGCCACTGTGCCAGCTCCTACCTGCGCCTTGCAAGCCTGACACTCCTGGGCCAATGGTATCTAAGGAGCAAGAGCTTGACTTGAAAGGCTTCACCAGCACAGAGCTTATTCCTGGTCTGTTGTTAATGATGTATCTAAAGATGCTCTGTCTGGTTGCTAGCAAAGGCAGGCATAGAGACCACAGTTTCCACAGCAAATATGTGCAGTTAATATAGCACTGCTGGGTAAAACCTTACAGATTGTACGGCATACTTTAAGGCTGTGTAATAAGCCATCTCTCTGGGGTCAGTATCCCAGAAGACAACAGATGTAGGCACGTGAGCCATTGATGTCACATTTGTGCTCATTAAGAACAGAAAGATCCAGTCTAAATATGGTAACAGAGAAATAATTCATCTGGATACTGAAAAATGCCAGCAGTAAGGTTATTCCATTGAGTCCACATTACTGCCCCTCAAGGTATGTGTCTCACAAGGACTCTGGGAGAAATATGAGACAGACAAAGATGTCACAGCTTTCTTTTACTTACAGTTCTGACCCTGAGGCTGTTATCTATAATCCCAGGACTGTGTTACCTTTTCTTTACTCTGAAGAGTAAAGAAAACAAGGCGAGCTCTGCAATGTAGCTGTGCTGCTCCTGCAAGGGCAGCAACAAGGCACTGGGCAGAGGTGTGGGGTAAGCCAAGCAGCAGGAGCAACATTTCTGCCAGCTCCCAGGAGCAGTATGGGCAACTTGAGCTGCCAGCTCGGGGGAAGCGGGTCCCCTGAGGGGCCACAAACAAGGGCCCCTCCTGCCCATGGCAGATGGTGAAAGCTCCTGCCAGCCAGCAGCGTCAAGAGCACCTCTGAAGTGAGAGAGTGCTGCTGCCAGCACAGCATGGCTAGTAGAAAGAAACCTGGGCCCGTGTCTTGGCGGCTTCAGGACGTGGTTTGCCTTAGCTTATGTCCATCTTCAATGCCAGCACCACGCAACATGCTCTCAGTTCCTCTGTTTCTGTTTTCCTCTCTGTAATGTGAGGGCATTAAGACACTCTCCACAAGAGCATTGTGATGCCTAACTCATCTTTGTAAAATGCTTTGAATCCGTCATGAAATGCTCTGCCAAAGTTCAAAGCACATCATCAATATTACCATAGTATTTATTGTCTCTGAATGGTCCATGTCATTACCATTAAGCATGAATATTATTCTTTATAATGCAGCTATGTTATATCTTAGCTCCTTGGCAGTTGTTCAGAAATGCTGTAAATGCTTTTCTTGTATTCGCCCTTCCCCAGCAATTTCAGGAAGATGTACGCACATCTAAAATGTTAGAAGTCAAAATTCTTTAATTTCTAATGCATAAAAGACTCCATCTGGCACACCTATATTTTTCAACTATTATGCAAACTGAGAACTGAAATATTAACAAGCTTTGTGAGTAATTCATATCAGGCAGGATAATTTTAAAAGTTGTTCAGCAAGTATACTTTTCTTTCTGAGAAGAAATTCTCTTGATGACTGTGAACATGCTGATAGTTGCTGGAATTGAAAGAAATGGATGGGTATCATTAAAATGACAGCAGATTGAAAAATTACAATGAAGAAAACACTTACTTGCATTTCAACACAAAAGAATATGTCATGTGTTCCTCACCACCCTAGCTGGTGTTTCTGGAGCACTATGTGTAATTATGGCTAGGTCCTTCTAAGACAGAATAACAAGTGGAGAGAGCATGCCCTATGGGCAGGCAGACTTGTCTGTGTATGGTATAAAATATACCAGCATGTGTGATTATCAGTGACATCTGAGAACTTGAAGCAAAGTGTGGACAGGAGCAAAAATTATCTAGATGGTAAAGAAAATGGAAAAGAAAATGAGCTGAGCATTTTGAACAAGGCATGGAGTCAATACACCGAAGTTCCCTTTCTAGATAATAAGGATTTAGGCATTTTAAATTCCATCAGAACAGACACTGGAGCATGTTGCTTCCTACTGGTCAGACTCTGCAGAGTCTCTTGCAGGAGCAACTATCCCACCTCTGTTTTGGCAGTGCCCCTATTCCAGCTTTTCCACTGGCAAGGATCACAAACTTCAGCTGAACAGCTCTCAGCTGCAGCCTCGGCTTGTGGAACGTCTCCCTGCTTCCAGAAGGATTCTTCTGCTTTTGCTTCCTAGCTCCAAGGTCAAACTCTGTCTCAAGAGCAGCCTTAACTGCCAAAGTGCAGAGGATGATCCCGGCAGGGAGAAGCAAGACAATACCTTGCACTAATAAATACACAGAAACATCCCTGTTTTTGCCACTAGGTACCTGATAGAAATCGTGTGTTGGGTTTTCCACTTGTGTTGGATGAGAGCTGTGCCTGTTCCCTATTCCTGGCCCAAAGCACAGCTGGCGACACGGCCAGCCAGAGCAAAGAGCTGTGACGTGGTGCTTGTGGCAGACAGGTTGACTACTCCCAGTCTGGAGGAGCCCAGCCCCATCCTCTGCACCAGCTGCCACTCTGCCGACACCGGATTATACTGGGGTTAGCACAGATCTTGCAGCTTCACAGGCCACCTGTTTTGATCCTGTCTGAACATGACTGGGTTGCTCTGCGGCTTAAACATCTATTTTCACCCCAACAGGATGGGAGGCGAAGGAGAAAGAAAGGAGATGGTTGTGCTGGGGCTGATCCTGAGGGATTTCTTCTCCCAGGGAAAAACAAAATCTCTCACTTGTATTCACTAATGTCACTATTCATATAAATTTCTGACACTTCATATGCATCTGTGATCTACATACTAACTGAAACTGTCCATACATTTACAAGGCATCAGTACATCACCCATGAAGCAACCAAGGCTTAGATCCATACTTCAGTAAGTAACCTACCTGTCCTATGTCTCTTTGATCAGAGACAGCTTTCTTGATATCACCAAAAGCACTGTTAAGACAGATGGGATTGCCATGCTGTTTAATAGGAAGTAGATGTTGTCATATGAAGCAGTTGTCTGCTCTCTCTTCAGCATAAAGGAACTAAACCTGACAGTTTCAAAGAGAAAAAAATATGTAGCCTGGTTGTTAAAATTCACAAGGGAAAAAATCCTAAATATCCTCTTTTATAAAATCTATGAATAATTTTATTATTTTTATGGAAATAGCTTCATATCAAGGAATAGTAATCGTAGAGTGTAGAGTTCAGTTACTGCACTGTCCTGATTGTGTAGGAGAGACCTACCAAATGAAACTGCCTGGAGACTCATTACTGACAAAAAATGCCTTGTTTATGTGCTTTGACTAGGAGGAGCAACATACAAGTAAAATAACTATCTGGACTATTCACTGATAAGTGAATTACATTTCTAATTTACTTTTAATCATCTGAAGCACTAGTGGAAACCTAAGGAGGGGAAATTTTAGGTTTTTTTCTGAAAGAGTAAGAATGTCTCCTTCTCCGGAGATATTCAAAAGCTGTCTGGACACAATCCTGAGTAACATGCTCTAGGGGACCCTGCTTGGACAAGGAGGTTGGACTACATGACCTCCAATCTTCCTATCTTATCCATTCTGTGTTTCTGTAGTTAAAGAAAAAGAGAAGACAACCCAGGAGCATCTGTTTAACTGTACCAGCTCCAACGACTCATCTTCAAAAGGTCAAATATTCATCAGCTCCGTAATAAATGACAAACTGGTAAGAGAACTGACAGTCATTGGTTGTGGTCCATTGTTCTACAGCTGACAGGCACCTGAGGAGCCTGATTAGGAGCTCCTCTGTGTTGGCTTGAACGGATGGATAAATGACTGCACTGGGCTCTGTCATCTGCAATTTCAGGAGCCTCAGGTTCTGCCATTGGATAGCATCCCATGTAACGTGTTGAGCTGGTCCCCAGGCTATTTCTGTTGCCCTCTGTCCTGTGCCATGTTGTTAGGAATGGAATAACTCAGTGCTATCTACTAACCACTTTAATGAGCCCTGAAAGTAGTATAGCTGGACTCAGTGTAGCATTCCCAGTTCACTTTTTTTTCTTCTTCTTCTTTGCTGCTCTTTTGATAAATTTCTGCACAGGTAATTGTTTTTATGAGTCAGAAGATGACAGCCTCATTTCTGGCACAACCTAAAATATTTCTTGCTAGAAGAGCTCATAAAACCTCCTGTCATCCTGACTCTCACAGCAGGCTCTGGTTAGCTGGGCTCTCAGCAGTCTGCTGAGTTAGTTAGCAAAGAAAGGAACAAGAAGCACCACTGCTAGTCCCCCTTGTCATTTCTAAAAGAGGGAGGAAGCATATCTTTAGGAATACTTGTCGTGAATATACTCATGACCAGTTTTTGCATCCTAACTGCAGGGAAATTCATGCTTTTACCCCTGCAGGGCAGTAAATCAGAAAATATTTTAGCATATTACTTGCATTTAACAAATCACAAAAAGAGGGCCTGATTTTGATCTCTGGTGGCCATCAACCCAACTCCACTGGGCAGTTGTCTTGCTGGGTAGCTGGTATGAAAGGAAATAATACCATTAATATCCTCCAGATCCTTCCATCCAGCTTCGTCCATAAACTGTGCCACCTTACTTTGCACTGCACTGTTAAAAAATACAAAAATAGCTCTTTTTCTGATGAGCAGTTCTTGTATGCTTTTAACAAAAAATAGGAGGCAATTACCCCTCCTTAGCTTGAACATACTAAAGGGCATTGAAAATTTTGGAGATGATGAAGGTGACCCAGTTAAAGTAAAGCAAACTGACTAACTGCAATCACTTAAACAAATAGATTCTGTGAGCAAACTGCTTGCTCATCTACAAGAAATCATGTATAGCTAAAAAATATTCACAACGGCAGCTTCAAACCATAGTTTATTAATGCCCTTTCCCCCACAGCAGGACACAGAAAGGAAACTGGCAAGACAGGCACATTAAAAAATGATGACTCCTCTGACTGAAACGTATGATACTAGAAATACACCTCCCTTTTGTGTTGGGGTTGGAGATACTGATAAAAAAAAAAAAAGTGTTTGTTCCTTACCTCATTACCGGGCTGCATTCCTGTGTTGGTATTACTTGAGGTAAATAAATGCCTGTCTGTTTTCATGGCAAGGCATTTTTTAAAATTCCAGCCACGAGGAGAGGAGGCTTTTTGCAGAAGAGGGAGTTTGAAAGAGGGGTAGTTGGTGGAGAGCAGGACATGATGGACACAGACACTTAGAACATCTGCCTTTTGCTTTCTGGGAAATACTATTGGGAACAAAGCCCTTCAACTACATTTTAGTTAAGGGAAAAATCAACTTCAACTCAGTCCATACAGACCAACAGTAATTTTAACTCCTGCACATGCTCTTGGGGAACATAAAGAGCAGTGAGCGGCGGCAGTGAGGGGGCACACCCAGCCTTGTGCCTCACCCAAAACCACACCGATCCCAAACATCTGTGAATCCTCACTGTCACACAGCTTCAGGTTTAAGCTCTGAGGATGCCTCAAGGTTGATGGCATGCCCTAGTCTAAGTGATTTGGGAAAACCTTTACTGTTACATACCTGAATATTAAGTTATATATTGGATTTTATGGCACCAAAAGGGAGATTTTTACTGAACTGCTCACCACTCAAAATGGGAAAAGTGTTTAAGGAGTTTAAATAATATTGAATTTGTTGAATTAAATATAGAGGGCAGTAAAAATTACTGAGGATACATAATGTTACACAGACTGAAATTCACGAGGTAACAAAACCATTTAGTGACAGGTTTTGAAAATGAGCCTATGCTTTCAAGATCACTAATTGTCAATGGTCTACATAGAGGAAGGGCAGGTCCCCCGTACTCAAGTGCCAAAAACCTCCTGGTACACACATTTTTCTCCTTGTTCTCTGATACAGACTGCCTAGGAAAGGCCCATTTTGGAGGTTGTTGCAGGAAACTCTCACAGAAGGCAGAGAAGGGGTCTGTGGGGGACTCGCTATCTCTGCACCCATACAATGTCATGAAAGGATTCTTGCCATTGGCCCCAACATCTGGGAGGGAATTTGTGTGTTTTAAAGTGCCTCAAGATCTGTTGGTTGGTTTTTTGTGCGTTTTTTGTTTGTTTTTTTGTTGTTGTTGTTTGGTTTTTTGTTTTTCTCTTTTTTGAATTTTCACATCTTTGACTACTAATTAAAAAACATCTTCTGCTGGATTGACACCAAAGACTGGCTTGACACTGTACAATGCTTTAAAAAGCCTGGGTGACAGAGGGTAGCCAAGCATGGTGGCATCCTGGCAGTAAAATTTAAATCCGCCTGTATTATTTTATTAGAATGTGCTGTTACTTACTCTTGTTCAGCTTGCATTTTGTTTGTATTCCACCTGAAATCCCCTTACCTGCATATCCCTCCATGTGATAGGAACTGGAGAGGTCTGTGTCTTCAGGATGTCTGCTCCATTTTCCCTGCATCAGCAATTGCTACATTTTGCAGTCAGTTTTTCCTTGTGTTTGCTTTCTTGCAGAAACGGCACAAGTGCCACACACACAAACCCCCCCAACCCAAACCCCACAAGAAATGGTTGAATAGCAGAATCACACAAAACCCAATCCACTTGCAGTGTCAGACCCTCTTTGCTGTGCTACTTTTGTTCATCCTCCAGTAATCCAGCCAGAGCTCTTTTCCTTGAGTAGAGCACTGGTTTGCTTTCAGATGGGATCAGTCTCCTTCACCTGCACAGCTCCTTTAACATCTGCACATAGCAGCAGTCCCAATTCATGCAGTCTTGTGTGTGTCCTTCTTTTCCATGAATTCATCCTGCACTGGAGTGGGCAATGGAAAGTCACAGCACAAGAGAGTGTTAGGACATTACAGGTATAACACCTTGTTCCTGCCCCATACTCAAAGTACCCTCAGATTAAAGCGTCCCTGAGGGTGAGACTAATGATGTTTGTTAAAACACCAGTTGATTCACAATAAAATACTGTTTGCAGACACGAGTCATGCTGTTGGGAAATAACTTCTGCTCAGATGAGTATGCACTGCTTCAGAAGGGAGAGTTACATTAGCACCCAAGCCAGCAAGGTAAGAGGTTTTCTAGGTCATGGAGAGGCACAGAGGCTGTGTGGGTGCCCAGCAGGCACTGCTTACTGAGCAGCCCAGCCCATTCTCCTGGGAGCTTTGCCACATTTAACCCAGGGAGCACAGCTCTGAAGGAGTGATTAAATGTCATGCTGCGGTTGCAAAGTAGGAATAACATGCAAAATGGGATTAAGTCTTAATATAATCTCATATCTCATAGTCCTGGACCACCCAGTAATGTCAGTGAGAAAATTCTAAGTCTTATTAACATTTAAAAAATGCATCAAACTTCAAAGGGAAAGCAAACCACAAAAAAACCATGCTGGTGATTTCAAGAGCATGCTGTATGACCAGTAAGTCAAGGTGTAACTAACTGTATTCTCACTGTCTTCCGCTGGCCCCGAGTTATTTTCCCAATCTTTGAACGGGCTGGCACAGCCTCAGCAGGGCAGCGAAGCGTGGCACCAGAGGTCAACACAGCTCCATCCCCATCTCCAGGGCAGCTGCTTTTGTTTGAGAGGTAAGGGGACTCTGCACCTGGGATAAGCTTCCTAAGCTGTGAAGGAAATTCTCAAAGGAAACCCACAATGAAAATAAATCCAGACTGGAAATTACTTCAGATGCAAGCAAACAGAAGCAAAAGATTTGTGCTGCAAATGCCAGTCTTGCTTTTTTTATGAAGTGGGAACCCCACTGAATTCACGGACTTCTCTGTCTGGTGCTCTCCGAGGGTGCAGTAGCCACCTGCAAACACAATTTTGATACTCATTAGTTCTCAGAAACTGTGAACTCTATCCTCTCTTCACACTAGCAGGGTTTGGAGGCAATATCCAAGTGACTACGAATCCAAGCTGGGAGTAGCAACAACCACCTACCCTACAAGACTCCTCAGATTCCAGTGAAAGAAAAAATCTGGGGAAGCATTCTGAATTTAAGTGGGGAAACATGAATATGAGACTGAATGCAGTGCATTTAAATTAAAATATTCTCTCTACATTTTTCCTGGGTTTTTCTTTTTAATTTTTTTTCCTGATTCTAGTGTTATCAGTTAAGCACCTAGGTCTTCTCTGACCTGAAAACCAGACCATCTGTCTCACATCTGGGTCAGACAGCAGGCTGAGACTCCCACCCAGATCTGTGCAACAGTCCACATCTGGCCAAGGCACCAGCGCAGCCAACCTTGCTAAGCACATCCTTCACTGAAAGCCTGTGAAAAGCTGTGGGAGGTGCATCCTTTAGTGTTCTGCTGAGTGAGGTCTAAAGCCCTACAGCCCCATTCTGATACAGGTCGTGCAGATGATTCCTTGAGCCTCAGGCCAAGTGCTGCTGAGCTGCCGGCAATGCACAGCCAGAACCGGCCGATCCTGCTATTGACAACCACCTTCTACTCTCAACTTCCAGGTCTTGAAGTCTTCCTGTTCTCAAATAAGCAATGGTCTTCCTTGCCTGACCGTTTACTGTAACTCAACTGGAAGCAGGTAATTAGATGAGTGCCACTGAAGTTATACTATGTCAAGTTTACAGTTTCATCCCCTGGTTCTGCAGGAAGATAGTCAAACCTAAGACAACATATACAGATAAAATGGCATGCAAAAAGTGTACCAGACTGCTACTTTCCAAAGCAGTGTTTTCTTTAAAGAAATCACACAGAATAAAGTAAGGTTTGCCTTAATCTAATGATAATTCAAAGCTTTTTCTGGCACAGATGATTTGCACCGTAAGAAGAAGAGAGCAACAAAGTGAAGTATCATTCTCCATCTATGCCAGTTTCCTCTGTCCTTTGTGAATGAACACATTTCCCAGGACACTGTTTCTCTAGCACAGCATGTCTAGTTTCACACCAACCTACAACTACATAATTTTTGAACACGTTACTTATATATAATTTGAGGAAGTTACCAGTCACCAACTAGGAAATCGTGTTTCTTCTTGAAAGGGGTAATTATCTAGGCTCTGACTCTAAAGACATTGCAAATGAGATTTACTTCCCATTAGCCATCAAAGCCACAGTTGTGCCATAATTATAAAGGTACTTTAACAGAAATGAAACCTTAGATGCTTGTGGCACAGCAGTTTGCTCTTCACGGTGGTTTAAAATGTATGCCAGCAGTTTATTATTTAAATGCATTTTCATGAGGTGAATGCGACAGTGCTGCTGTATTTCAGTTACAAAGACACGCTAAAGAAGAATTAAGAATTACAGTTAAATTGTGTATTATCATGTAAATGGCAAAGGAATGTCACATGGGATTCTGTGCATTGTTCGTAGAGATAAATGCAGTGAACTATAAATACAAGTTCAATAGAGAGCCTTGACAGTTAAGCAGCTGAATGAAAGCCAGTCTCGGAGGCTGCTGGGACATTTTGAAATACATACGCATACACACAGATGCAATATTTAACATATCTAATTAATCAACCATTAATTTTGGGGGGGGTGTTGTAAATCTGTTGTCCTATTAAAAATGACCCACAAAAAAAAAAAAAAACAAAACACACACACAAAAACAAACCTGCTGTAACAGGCAGACAATTGTCTTTATGTGAAGTTTAATCTAAATAATGAATATTAATAGACTGAAGACCTCCTGCAGGTATGAATGCTCAGCCCTCCCTGAATTCATGGGAAGGTTAATGTTCAACACTGAAGACAGCGCCTACTTGAGCAGCCATCGAGGATGCTGCTGCCTTCATCAAAAGAGGTGCCTGTCCAGATGTAGGAGAGGTTATGCTGCTGTTTGATTACAGTAGGATATATACTGGCATTTAGGGTCTAAAAAGGATTACTTTATCCTTTGTTCTTATTCTGTTATTTTGAGCTTTACAATGGCCTCTTCTGTGAATGCTGGTACATGTAAAAAAGCAAACAGGAGGTACAAATATTTTATTTTGTATGCCCACTGCTACTGCTTCACCCTGCCTAGAACAGAACTTTCATACGGAAACAAACCCCACCAACTATTTCAGCAAGACTAAAAAGGTTTGTTCTTCAGTTCTGGTTCAACCCCCATTGCAAGGATAATCAAAATGGGAAGAAATAACTGAGGACCAGTATAAATACCCACTGAAAACACCATCATCTCTGGAGATGCTTCTGGTGCAGTAACAGCTGACAGCACCTGTACTGAGAGGTTGCTATCCAGACCCTGGACCCAGAAAGGCTGATGGCAGCTAGCCCACAAAAGCTCTATCAGTTTGCTGAAACTAACTGCTACAGTTATCTCAGGGCTAGGCAAGGCAGTTCATTTCAGGCTTTAAAAACCAAACAAACGTCTATTCAGCCAAAGTACTCACATTACTTTAGCCACTCAAAGAGCTTTTGCCCTTTCAGTGACACAACAGCTAGGAATGAGAGAGAGAGAGAGAAGAGTAGTGTTTGAAAGCTGAACTCTACCCCTCCTTGCTTCAGAGGGAACAAGTAAGAGTTCATTCCGTCCAGTGGAATGAGAAGCTGGAAGGTGGTGGCCTCCACTGCCCATCAAAGAAAGCCGAGGAGACACATGCTTCCCTGTCAAAGCTTAGGCAAACATTCAGGCCGAAGGCAAAACATTAACACACTTTACTGAAATATCAGTTTCTTTAGTATGTTACAGAAAAACTTATTAACATATATAATGTACATAAAAACCAGACTTTGTAAAATAAAAAGGTCTTTTTCTATAAAAAAAATATTAAAAAGTCAAAGTAAAGTGCATGAAACAGTTTTTTCTCCACTTTTAACTATTGTGTCAAAGTCTTAGCACATAGCATTTTTTAAAAATGGGAGATCCTCTTGTGCCACCCATTAGTCAGTTACTTTACTGGTCAGATGAAAAGATGATGGTGATGATTACAAGCAAATGCTTAGAATGAAAACAGTTTAACCTGATGCAACCACAACAAAAACTAAGAGCTAAGGGAGTATCAGCTTCCTATACACTTCTCACCGACAAGATTTAACAATCAGTGGAAAGGTTCACTTTCGTTAATCGGTAGGGAACAAGTTTCATAAATAGGGCAGTTTTGCTAGTTAGGGGCTTCCCTATTGTGCAATCAGTTCTTGGTCTGTGAATATCAACATTCATACTTAAATATGCCATTGCAAAAGAAAGAATATATAAAAAAACGTTTCTGCCTGCGTCCTTTGGAAGAGGTACTCGACCGCAATCCAGACAAAGAAACAGCTTTCCTATGGGGTTTCTTATGAGGGCAAGTGCACCAAGAAAGTTAAGGAAAGCACTAATAATGCTGAACTCTCTCATTTTTTTTTTTCCGAACTCTGAGGGCAGAGTCCTGGAACGAAACTCGGCCATAATTATACCGATTGCGTTCTGCATCTTCAGGGATCTTGACAAACGCTAGTTAATCGCTCCTCTCGACAGCCCCGGCAGGCAAATAGCCTGTGATTCCCGCCGTTCCCATCCTCTGCACCCCACCCCCCCATCCCCGGCAGTCGCAGCGATTACGGGGCGCCGAGCACCGAGGTGGCACGCTGGGTCAGCTCCTGCTTTCGGCAGCTGCCGGGGCAAGTCCCGCTGCCTTGGAGGAGAGGAAAGCTGGAGCTCTCGCCGCCCGTTTCCGACCGGCCCGGGGCCATCAGAGCACGGCGGCCTGTGCGCGGCAATGGGCGATGTGGCGGTGCACGAAGTCGACGCGGGCCTGCAGCATCTCTGCCTGGCGCTCCGAGAGGAAGCCGAGGCGCGCCCAGAGCGGCTCCCGCGCCCGGTACCGGCGGCGCAGCTCGGCGGCGGCGCTGCGGCGGCGGTGCAGCTCCGCGACGCGGCGGGCCGTGCCCTCGCGGAACACGCACACGGAGCGGAGCAGCGGCTCGTTGTAAGGGTCCCACATGGCGAGGAGGCGGTAGCCGTGCACCAGACCCGCCTCGTTGTCCATGAAGACGAGCCCGCCGTCGGGGGCGCGGAGCAGGTTGCTGGTGGCACGGCGCATCACCCGGGGATCCCACTGCAGGCTGAAGAGGTTGCTGACCAGGCGGTCGAAGTTGGCCGTCAGGTAGTCAAAGAGGATCAGATCGCTCCACTGCACCAGCTCCACCAGCTGCGACGCCGACAGCCCGCCCAAGTCTCCCGCCGACAGCGGCTCCAGCCGCCGACCGGCGCCCGCCTCGGCGCCCCAGGGCGGGGGTGCCACCACGGCGGTGAGATTGTCCACCCAGCGGGTCAGGCTGACCACGGCGCCCTCGGCCCAATGCGAGCCGCGCAGCTCCTCCCGCACCGGCTCCCACTGCCGCCCGCGGGCCTCCACCAGGGCGAGGGCCATGGGCGGCAGCCGCTCCTGCATGCCCAGCACCCCGGCCAGGTGGTACGAGAGCGCCTCGCCCTGGATCTGCTCCGGGTTGATGCCGTAGCGGACGCAGGCGCGGCTCCCGTCCGACAGCCGGGCCAGCCGGTTGGAGCTGCGCCCGCAGCCGCCCCGCTCCAGCGAGGACACACGGGCGGCGCGGGCGGCCGAGAGCCACGCCGCCGCCTCCTCCGCCGCGAAGCCCGGCGGCACCTGCTCCTCTAGCTCACGGCTCCAGAAGATGCCCCGCTCCACCGGAGAGGCGGTACCGGCCGGCGGCAAGGAGCCGGTTACAGCGAACCGCTCTTCGCCGCCCCGCTCCTCCCGACCCGTCGCCGCCTCCGGCACCGCCAGTAGCGTCCGGAAAGTTTTCTGGCCGCCGCCGCCGGACTCGCCCCGCGCCGCCGGGGAGCGTCCCCAGCCCCACCGCCCCGGGAGTGGCTCCGCGGGCGGGCGCGGCTCCGGCTCCGGCTGCGCCGCCGCCTCCCGCCGCAGCAGCACCGTCCAGAGCCCCGGCAGGGCACCCAGCAGCAGCAGCCCCAGAAGGGGCAGGGGGCCCGGCGCGGCCCGCCTCGCCCGCTTCATCCTCACGCCGCTTCACGCCGCTGCCGCGGGACACGGCGGCGGTGCAGCCCCGCCGCTCGGCCGCTCAGCGCGGCGCTGGCGCATGGCCGCGGGCCGGAGCTGCCGCCCGGGGAGCGGCGGCGGAAGGGGGATAGCCCAGCAGCAGCCCCGCGCCGTGTGCGCCCCGCTCCGCCGGCGGCCGGGGACACGGGCACCCGCACCACGTGGGGGAGCCGAGGGGGCGCGCCCGGCCCGCCCCGTCTCCCGGCGTGGCGCTCCGCTTAAAGCGGCGATGGCGGGGCGCCCCCTCCGGAGACACACGGGTCGGGGTGGGGGGGCCTGGGGGCCGCTCCTGCCGACCGCCCGCGGGCAGGGAGCCCGCTACAGCAGGGGCGCTCGGCCCGCCGCGTCCTCCTCCCCGCTGCAGGCAGCACAAAGGAGCCTGCACGCCGAGGGAGGACGGCGAGGAGGGGGAAGGGAGAGGCGGTGCGCAGCCAGCGGGGCCGCCCCCCGCCTCCGGTGCACGAGATTCCCCGGAGCCTCCGGGCACGGCTGCCCCGAGAGGTCTCGCCGCGTTCAGCGGTACCTCGGCACGCCCTCCGCTCCGCCACTCCTTCGGCGCTGGGGGCCGGGAGCGGGGCCGGGAGCCGGCAGGTGGTTGCACAAAGGGATCGCCTGGGCCACCGCGGGCGAGGCGCGGTGGTGAGAACGCATGGAGTATTCGCCTCTTCCTGCGCTTCCTCCCGCTTCGGTGGTGGCAGGTGGCAGCCGATGCGGGGCTCCTCTGCACGAAGGGGAGCGCCCTCCGCATTCTTACACACCAGGATGTGCGGCGTGATCACGCACCAGGTGTGTCACGGAGTGTGAGGACCAGCTTTTCTTGATATTTTAACTATGTCTAGGGAAAATGTCAAGGCAGCGCAGCCGGCGGCAGGACGCTGTCCCACCCCGCGGATTATCCTGCCAGAGGAAACAACAGGCAGCCCTTCTTTTCAAGTTTTGTCCCTTTAAGGTCTTTGGAAGAGTAGCTATTTCTTTATCCTCCATTTCAATTTTTCTGCTTTCCCAAGACAAAGAAGCTTAGCTCTGCCCTTCCTGTATTTTTCTAGGGATCTCTTGGGAAGAACACATTTGTGAGCCGCGTTAGATTAAACACCTCTACCTTCTGCTCTCAGTGGCGTGGCTGTCCTCCAAAGTAGTTATTGGAGTTGGATCAGCTTAGCAAAACCACCACACGCAGAATCTTAAATATTGCAAAAGAAAAAAATCCCTTTCTCATCTCCCCAAGTCTTTCTGCTCTCTTGAGATATCGCAGCAACTCCTAGTTTTTCAGCCACACCACTCTCTTCCAGGTTAGATGGAAGATAATTTGTTTTCTTTCAATATAGGAAATAGGGAATTCTTTCTTTTCCAGGATTTTGTTAAAAGCATTCAAACTCTCCTAATCCACCTTAACAACTTACATATGCATGCACACACTCCAAAAAAAAAAAAAAAAAAAAAGGGGGAGAGGGAGAGAAAAAAGGACTCAAAAAGCAGAAGCTGAATTCCCTGGGTTTTTTTCGTTGTCTTTTGCCTCAAATTCCCGGACATAGAGCAGCGGGAGCCTCCTCGCCCCTACGGGCAGCCGTGTTGCACCGGCGCCTCCTGCCGCTCACGGCGTCGCCTTGCAGCCACAGGCGGCACCGGTGATAATTGAAATAAGAAATAGTCACCATTCTGGCTTCCCTTAAATGCAATACCAGCTGTAAAACATTCGTCTTGTTGCCCAGAAAATCGGGTCTCATGCTATTCCGACCCTGAAGCCTTATTGCCAGACGATTCTTTACACTTTCACCTTTTGAAAGTGTGAGGTGAACACCAGGTGTGATTGGTGCACTTCACAGTGGTCGATAAGAACAATACCATTACTCTAAGCAGGAGGCTTTTATCCAGCATAACGCTGATACTTTTACCAAAGAAGTGACACAGAATTGCCTCTGTTTGCTGTCACTTTACAGCTTGAAATAGCTTTAAAAAGATTGAAAGCTGAATACTAATTTTATTCTACATGTAGGTTGGACATGTATTTTGATTTAGGTGAATTATTTGTGTTTCTTTCAGGGTGAGTTATGCTTCTATTGAGCATCCAACTGCCAATGTCTGTACTGGGAATCCCCTCTGGAGAAGTACCACTGCCATGGGTAAGGACACTATGTTTCCTGTTATTAAGGTAAATATAAGCTCCAAGTTATGCATGGTATTATTTTCAGTTACAGCTTGTCTCTTGTAAGCTAAGCAGTTAATCAACAGGCTATACTGTGACTACACCCTTAAATCAATAGCTGGGAAAACATCACCTCCCCCAAATACTCCGCCTCCTAACTACACTTTTTGGAAGGAGTACAAGCCAGAGTTTAGCTGAGCCATCCCACTGGCTAATAGTCCTGCTTACAAGCTTCAATATTTTTAAACCCAGACAATTAGTAAAGGGTTAAACATCAGCCAAGCTGTTCAATTTACAGCATGTTAAGCATTCCTGAAACTGTGATCACTGATATATTTGGGTCAATCAGATGTCTTGTTACTGCTTTGCAGACATTGCAATGAGCAGCTCAGAGATAAAGGAGAACAGTCTCCAGGCTTCACAGCCCTGTACTGGGGAAGGGAGAGCTGGCTGCTGTCCAGACCCAGAATTCTAGCAAGTAAAAAGATAACAAAATAATTTCTGGCTTCCCTATGTTGTTTCATATATTAACTTGATTTTAGCTGTCTGGCAAAGTTAGTTTGCTCTGGCAAACTAGCTACTGGTGTTTCACACTGATTTTAGCCTAGTGAAGCCTCTTTGTTCTGCTCATTCCCCTTCTGACCCTCCAGTACCCAGCTTCTCAGTGATGTGGGGTAGCTGTCATTACGGGCAGCAATTCCTCCCATCAAAGGCAGAAGAAACAGGAACTGAACAGACACTTGAAGATTCTCCCCTGCAGTGAAAGTTATTTTGCATTCAAGACAAATGTCAAACTCTAATGGGCTTTGATAGGATTAGGATCATGGGGAAGCAGATGGGGACTTTACTTTTCTGGACACTCTACCTATGCTGGCAAGAAAGGCTGGCAAACAGGCACGGAGCAGGTCTCCATTGCACCAGAGCCTAAAACAATTACTAACTCCAAAGCACTCAGAGACCTAACAGTGCTCCCCAGGGCAGGAGGCAGCCTCCTCCCATGGCTGGAGCTGGCAGAGTTTGGGAGGACTGTCCCAGCCGTGAGGAGGCAATGCTCTGGCTCAGGCAAGTTCTGGCCTGCAGTAGCATTGCATATCTTCATCTGATACTCTCCCACAGCCCAAGGCTTCAGTACAATGCCTCCACGCCCACCTTTCAGAGGCATTGCTGTGGAAGTTATTTCCCAGCACAGGCCTTTTCGGACTACCAAAATTAGCCTCCCACAATTCTTCCCAGGCTTGTGAAGTTTATGAAATTTTCTCTCCCTTCACTGAGTGCTGAGAGACACTTTCCGTTCAACACTGGTTTTAGTGTAAACACAAAGCCACATCTAACACACCTCATTGCCAATTACTGAGTCTGGTGACTGCCACGTTAATCTCAGCAGGGCTGTGAGCTCCTTTCCTGGAGCAGGAGTTGAGCCTGAGGACTGTTGCTTCATGGTGATGACTAGCACAACATAGGAAGTTCTTCATTTACTCTGAACTGGGATTCAAGAGCCCAGGGTGAGGTGGGAATGGGGTCCTTTTACTCCAGTCCAGCATATTTTTCTACATTTCATTCTCCCAAGACTTTTTATACAGCTTGTTCCCACTTCAAGTAGCTTCTCAAGCTCTATCTGCACTCTTTCTTCTCTATCTGTCAGATTAACAAATACCTCAGTTTTCATCCAGGATTTCTTTAACTGTCCATGAGCAGCTTGTTCCCACCCCTATTTAGTACCTTTGGTTCCTCGCAGTGAGCTGGTGCCAGTGAGCTCCCAAATTGGTGATAGCCATTTTTTAAGAGACCACCTGAGACTGGTGTCAGGAGAGGAGCATTGAGTACATGGTGCAACGTGCCTTCACCCGTGGGACTGGGGTCTGCCCTGGCAATGTGAAAGTGCTGCTGCAGACAGAATGTAGCAAAAGTATGCCCCTGCTTCCTCAGTGGTGCACGTTTCCTCTCTTGGTGTTTTGAGTCACTGGATCAGAGAAAAAGTTAGTATCAAGAGCCTTCCATCAGGGCAGTATCAGTTCTCCACATGCCAGTGATCCACACTGGGTGATTTACAAGGCTGCTTTTCTGCCGATGACAGGTTCCTCCCAGTGCAGCCTCCCTGATGCTTCCTTACTGTGGCGGTGAGAGCACCTTATGCTGCCTTTCTGTGCTGCCTGAACCTGTGGCCTCCTGAAGAAATGGCAGCTTGTGCTCAGAGCCCCTTGTCCAAATGGTCTGTGTGTTTCAATTCTTCCCTTTGCAAGAAAGTTACTTAGCCTAGCTTGTTGTGGGGGGGAAAGAGTTGTGCCTGCAAAGCTATCTAGTACAGTGGCAGGGTCACCATCAAAACACTGCTACTGCTAAGACAGCTTGTTTCTCTTGTGGAATGGTGGGGATTTTGGAATAAACTATACTGGCGACAAGTTAGTGCGCAAAAATGTTATGTGCTTAGTGTGACTTTAAGTTATTATTTCCACACTAGGAGTGCTTGGTGCAAATTTATCAGCAGCATAGCCATCTATATGCCTGACTGGCTCTGTCAAGGTGGATTTGTATTTCTCAACCTAAAACCCACATCCCTTATGACGAGATATTCCAACAACTGAAAGGCATGATTTATAGCTGGTTGTGACTGGGGGAGGGCTGAAGAAGTTAAGGTGCTCTGCATTTCATAGCAGGGAGGTGAACATTAGAGATCTTACCCTGCAGGTGTGTTTGCAATTTCTGGAAGTATTTACAAACTTGTCTCAGCCTGGAATAGAGAAATCTGGCAGTTTTTCTATTGCTTTGACTCCATAGTTGATTTCACAGAAAAGCTCTCAGACGTATGGGACTCTATAAGGAAGGAGGAGGGGGGGATTGTTTTTTTGATTGCTTGGTTTGGTTTTTGTGGTTTGTTGTTTTGTTTTGTTTTGTTTTTTAATCTGAAGCACCATGCATAATATGAAACTAGGCAATTCGGTTTCTGTACACAGAGTGGATCCTATCTTCCCTGTATACTGTGAC